CTTAGTGTCCAGATGACCACATGCTGATCAGTTTTATGACCTTGGTTTGCATTTTGTTCCTTTGCTTAAAATCTTCCATCTTTGCTAACATAGTGATAATTACCTAGATGGGACGTAAAACCTTCCAGCGTCTTCTTTGGGTGAATATATTCTGTTCATCAAAAAGAAGAAATCATTGTCTTGTATATTTTCAAAGATAACTGTGTTTATTATTTTCAAACTGATCATGAACACTTATAGGCCATCTGTAAGAAAGGGGTAAGGGGCCATATAATCAGAAACGTCCTTATTGGTACATGTTGTATAGGCTATTATAAATTATTGTTAGCTATATAATAATTCCTCTGTTTTTTGTTAAAGAAGAAGCAAAGAATCATAGGTTTATTCTACAGGTACAAGTTATAAAAAGAACAAAATACAAAAGATTACCTGAAGTTAAAAATTAATTGATACAGGGTTTTCTATGTATATTTGATAAAATGCCCGCAGCATTAGAAGCTTAAATTGACAGTTAAAAACTGGAACCAAGAGATATCCAGGATATACTGTAAGCCTTTACACAAGAACATGTGGGCAGTAATGACAAGAAGGTATACTTAAGGGGTAAAGAAAAACAAAAAATGTTACAGATCCCTAAATCTGTATCAAAATTGCCTAAAAGAAACAAAGATTGTATAAGTAAACAAGGCAAAAGATGGAGATAGCAAAAAGGCTTTACATTAACCTAAGGAATGAAACACAAGAAATTAAGAATTGTATCAAACTGATCAGCAATAGGTCACCTGGAGATTAACTATATATTGTTTCATAAGGAGAAGCCAAAGTCAGAGCAATAAGTAAGGTTCATTAAAAAAAAGGTTCATAATTCCAGTTCAGTGGGTCTCAGAGTTTCCAGGATTCTCATCTTTGCCAAATAAGTCTTCAAAGGAAAAGAAGCCAACCAAAAACACCTATATGTTCAAAAATGTGGGAGTTGTTAGGAGTAGGAGGAAAATGAGAAGGGCATCTGTTTTAATAACTGTAATATATGGCTTGCATTTATGTTAAGCAGTAGACCTTGAACCCATAATAAAGCCAATTTGATGTCGCAGTAAAGACACCAAGTTAGAAACCAGTAGACTATGTGTTTTACAGATAGTTCTCACTTACCAACTGCCTTGTTTACCAACTATTTGCAGTTACAATGGTGATAAAGTAATTTTGTGACCAGTCTGCAAATTTATCACTTTCATGGGTCTAAAGCAAAGGAAAGCTAAAGTAGCATCATAAGCACAGTCATGGTTTCACTCATCAATCGCTTTGCTTAATGAGTTGTCAGCCCCAACTGAAGTTGCTGAACGAAGACTACCTATGGTCCCACATTAGTTACAAAGCCAACTGTGTGATCTTGAATGAGTCACTCTTTCTCACTCCTTGAAAGGAGGCAGTGGCAAACCACTTCCAAAAATTTGCAAAGAAAACTGCAGGGACTAGTCCAGACAGTCATCAGGACTCAAGACTGACTTGATGAAGGCATGCCTGCATGCATGCACATACAAATCAAGTACATAACTTTCCTGGGACACTTGTATGTCATATAATCTTCAAATAATATTTTCTGGCCTCCTTTTAATTGCTATCTGTTAACTGTAATAGTGTAATATTTAGGATGAATAATCTAAATAAGATTAATTAACTCTGTAAGGTCACTCACATTAATGTTACCTGCATTACAAATTAAAGTGCCATTAATGGACTTTATCCAATGGAAAGACAACCCCGAAGCAATCTATTATATACTATAATGAACAAAGAAACTGAGGGTAATTAATTTTGGACTACATAAGCAAAGAAACGTGTTTTTTAAAAAATTGACCATTGGTGTATATATGAAGAAATAATAGTAAATTGAAAAAAAAGTTTCAGAATTGATAATAATAATATATAATAAATCTAAATGAGAAAGGTTTGGAACTAAAATAGCCAGTATAATTTTACTCATGCTGAAATGCAAGAATGGGAAGTCTATTTTTATGAAGCCCTCATTTAACAATCATTTATTTAACACCGATTCAAAATTACTGAAAAAGTGGTACTAGTCCTCAAAATTGCAGCTATTGTTGTGCCCCATGTTCTCATGATTACATTTTGGGCAACCAGCCTGCATTGTGATTGTGAATTGTGACTTTCTCTGCTGGCTTCTGACAAGCAAAGTCAAGGGGAACCCAGCAGAAGCGCAGTCAAATGAAGTCTTCATTTAACAAACCATGTGGTCCTTGCTTAATGATGGCAACTGGAACTGCCAGAACTGCTGTTGCTAAGTGGCACGGTCACATGATCTTTCAACTTATGACCTTGTCACTTAACAACAGTTTCCAGTCCCAATTAGCATCTTTAAGCAAGGACTAACTATACCTCTAACTTACTCTAGAAGGCTGTGAAACTTGTGAGAACAGCATGACAATAAATCAGAGGCTGACTTCCGGTTTTGCACTCGCAGTGCATGGCCGCGTGAGAGCAGATGTCCGCTCCCCATGGCTAGTTTCTTCCTGCTTGGGTGACCCTAGATGGGTCAAAAGTTGCTCCGGAGAGGTGACTATGAAGGAGGGATGCCCCGTTGATCATGAAGCGACAGCAATCGCTTCGTTTGATCTGGGGAAAGCCCTCTGAACCTGACAGGAGAAAAGCTAGCGTGAGATCAGCATCTAGCCCAAGCTGCTTGCAGCCGAAGTCCCAGAGCACGAACCTAAACATCGGTGAACAGCGTGCTCAGAATTGGTGAGAGTACTGATCTTCTTTCTTCTATCTACAATCTAAATCCTTGAAAAGATCCCTAAAGCAAGAAAACCTCCAGAAGTGAAGGGAGAGGACTATATCCCCATTCCCTTACCGATGGAAGCGATGAATTAATATTAAAGGAGGGAAGAAATATATTAAAATTTGATTTAAAATACTCTGAACTCTGAACTAAAGGAACTAGTTTAGGAACTAAAAAACTGTCAAGATTATATCCTAAACATTTTAGATGGAATTATAAAAATATATAACAAAAATAACGTTTTGATTGAAAGAAAAACTGAAAAAAGAAATAACTGCTGACATCTAGTGGAGACTCAGAGAATAGAACACTGACAATAAGGACTCAGAAATTGGCAGAGTGCCTGGAAACAAAGTTCCTTTGAATTGCAAATAACCTTGAAGACAGCTGGGAACAAAGGAAGAGCCAGCTATAAGATTAAAAAGTGTTTGAAAGAAAAAAAAAACATCTGGACTGTTGCTTAAATCTAAGAACTGTTTATGGAAAAGAAAAACCTTGGCTTTTTGGCTAATCTTTTAGAGGAGAAACTGTAGGAAGGATTTAAAGTGGCTTAACATACTGAACCGTAATTTTGACTGACTGATAAATTGACTTTTGAATTAAAACATTGATGAAAGATTATTTGAAGGGGGGAGACTATGGATATCACATACGTTTCAAAAAATGACAGGATGCCACATTCAATATTTTGTCCTGAAGGACGTAGCCTGGAAAATCAAGGGCCTCCAGAAGCAATACTTCAAGGCAAGATAAATACTTTCCAGGAGGAAATATATGTAATGTTAGGACAAATACAAATGACAATAGACTCAAACCACGAGGAAATCTGAAACAACTTTGATGATTTAAATAAGCATATTTCCAATCTAAATTTACAATTAAAAAACACTCAGGAAATAACAACAAAGGTACAAATAAATCAGACCGCAGACTACAAATTAGAAGAGTATGATTAAATTGATGAAACAACAAAGGAAAAGAATTACAATTTGACACAAACAGGAAAAAATCTTCAAGGTTCTGATAACAACAAGAAAAACGGAATTATCAGGAGAACCATCGAACTTTGGGAGACAGAAAGTATTTATCTTACTTACTTCATATTTTGTATTCCCAACAAAATTTGTAAAAATACAGGAACTGCTGGGTAAGCGGATTACATCAACTTAGAAAATTACTCAGCAAAAGAAGAAGACCAGAGACAGATACTAGAGATTTGACTTGCCCTACCAGATGGACTATTACGTGAATAAACATTTGTTTGAATATGGCTAAAAGAACAGAGAATTTTGAACACAAAGGGGCCTTATAACAAGAAGGATAAG